GCTTTGTCTGCACGCAATGCAAACTATCTTTGCTGTACCGTACTGCTCTGTTCTGTGCTGGGACTGTACCTGAGGATGTCAGGCGATCACAGGATCTTGGTCCTTGTCCTTTTAGTTGTGCAACTGTAATTGTATTCTCGGCAGAAACCTCTCTTGAGGCCCAAAGCAGCTTTGCGTGAGTGAAGATTGACAGATTTGGTTTGCACCCACTAAGCACCAAGAGTGATGAGGTCACCACCATTTCTGGTGCAGGGCAAGGTTTAGTTGAGACAAGGCTCAACTTGTCTCAAGACCAGAGATTATGGCCCAGATCCAGCTCCCTACCTATGAGCAGGTTGTTTGGTCCTTGTGTGCTTCAGTTTCCCCAGACAGAGCTGGGGACTGCTGGGCCCAGGTGACATGGCAGCTCAGTACTGCACAGTCACACAAGTCTGCTTTCTGTGCCCCTGAGGGCAAGGGGTGACCTGCACCCACGTCTCTCCCCACACAGCTTGTCACTCTTTGGTTTCCAGATCCAGCTTGGACACAAGGAGCTGCCCTGCTCATCCAGCGTGGCAGGGCCCAAGGGGGACAGTGGTGGGGACACGTCTCTCCAAAGTGCTCTGTGGTGCACCGGCCTGGGGGAGGCACTCAGGCTGGGGGGGGAAAACCCAGGCTTGCTGAGGGATGTGCTGTGGCACACAACCCCTTTCCGTGGCAAAGCGAACCTGCAGAGCAGAGGCCGGGCGCCGTTTCGTAGCCCGAAAGAAAGGCAAAGCTTCTCCAGAAGCTTCATGAAATTTCCCTCACCCCACAGCCTTTCCCCCCTGCCCTGCCCTCCATACGGTCTGCCTGGTGAGGAAAGGAGGCCACCTCCGCACCAGCCCCCGCGGGACCCGAGCTCGCGTTGCTGCCCCAGCCCGCACGAACCGCAGCAAGGGATGTCCTCCTCGGTGGAGGAGGTCTGCGTGTCCTCGGGGGAAGGCTTCTTCTTGGAGAAGCTGATGATCCTGGTGATCTTCCTCCCCGCTGCCCGGCTCATGGAGCCCTTCAGGTCAGCCAAGCCGCTCTTCTTGCCTTTCCCTGGGAAGGAGAGCGGCCCCGGTGACGTTGTGTGCCTGCAGTGCAGCACGGCACCCCCTTGCACACCGGACAGGCTGCTCCGGAGCACTGGTGCATGCAGCAGGGCCAGATGATGGGGAGGAGAAGCCCGTCACGCCGACAGCGCAGGGCCTTACCGTGCTCGCAAGGCTCCCTGCGGGCCACGGGGGAGCAGGTCTCGCCTGTCGCCACGCTGTCTGAGTCGGAAGTGTGCTTCTCCTGCGACAGCCTCTGCAGGAAGGAGCAGGGCAGGCGCCCGTTTCAGTGCCGCCAGCCGTGTCCCACCATCGCTCTCCAGCCTACAACCCTCCAGCACATGGGCTGGGACATCCCCGATGCCAGGGAGCCCCGCGCTCTCTCCCCAGGAGCCCTGCAGACCTGCTGCGAGCAGAAGGAGGGCTCCCCGCACAGCACCAGGAGCTCGGCACTTGGCACCTCGGCCTGGCCTCGGTGGCAACAGTCTCACGTGGCACCTCGGCTAGCCCCCAGTTCCTTCCCTCCTTCGCAGGGCAGTTAAAAAAGCCACCTTGTCCAGGTCCATCTTGCGCGGCACCACTGGGGACGTGGGAGCTTCCAGCCCGCCCGCTCCCGCGCTGCTCGCCTCCTTGATCACCTGCGGAGACAGGCCTCTGAGCAGCTGCTCGCACGTCCCAGAGGGGGAACGTCTCCCCCCGGGACCACCAAGCGCCAGCCTCACTGCCAGAGCCGAGCCAAACTGCCTGGAGAGCGATCCGGGGCTCTGGAGCACCAGCTCTGCTGCTATCCCAAGGGGATGGCCAGCCTCTGGGCATGAGGGTGGGACAGCGCGCTCCGTTTGGGGCACGAATCCCTCGGGGGAGTCCCGCTTGCCTGGGGGATCGGGCACAGTTTGGCCCCTACAGAAATGCCACTGTAGCTAAGACGGTCACAGACTGGGATGGCAACTCGCCTGGTGATGTAGGAGGAAAGGGATTTGGGTGCAAGTTGCACAAAGCCCCTCCAGCATCAGAAACCTCACAACCCCTATTTTACGGTCAGGCACAGCATGGCTTGCCTGGGCCATATAAAGTGACCTGGTTCCCCACGCTTAGGGTTAGCACCCTGGGTTCGTGGCCAGTCAGGAGGTTTTCGAGGAAACATCCTGGCAGGACACAGCTGGCACAAGGGCCACCCTTCCTGCGCTGCTGCGGTGCATCGCTTCCCATCCCCGCTGCGGCCGGAGCCAGGGGCGCGGAGGGAAGCAGCGAGCTCCGAAGGGCGAGCGGGACGCCCCGCGTCTCCAGGCACGGCCCACAGGCAGCACTCCCACCGGCCAAGGAGACGG